AAGTCAAATCTCGTTGTTTTCATCACTAAAACTAAGAAATGCAACAAAACCTCATGGTAGCCGAGCTAAACGCTCAGCTAAAACAAACATGCACAATAAATTCCAGCTTCGTTTTTAAAAACCTTAATCAGATTAAAACCTTAAAACTTGATTTTTTATTCAGCTTCTCGACTTTTTTCATGTATGAAAACAATTTGGAAGGCGTAAAAGAAACAGGAAAGAAAACTATCAACCAAAGACTGATTTTATCTCTGAAAACAAAAACAGAATAATCAGAGCTTGATAAAAAAAAGATCATCAGTGACCATAGTTGTCAACATCTCAAATTGGCAATGACAATCAGATCTTGGTAGTAAAAAAATCAGAAGTCAAATAGCGTAGTTTTCATCATTTGAAAAGAAAAGTACAATCTTATAACAAGTATAGCTAAACTTTAAGCTAGACAGCTTGATATGCAGCAATTTAAAGTGGAAAAGGGACAATTCAATTTTGATTAAACCAAATTTATACCATTAAAAACGCAAGTTTTTAAATGCTTCAGGTTTTTATTTTGCCGAAAAATTTTCGAGATAAAAAGGAAAACACGAAAAATTACAAAAACACCGACAAATATTAAATTTAAAAAAAGTAAAAGAATCAATTTTGGAGAAAAAAATAAGTGGTTTCCCCGGTAACTATAAAAATCTTCACTTATAAGAGCACAACAATCAGAGATCTTGGTGGAAAAAATCAGAAGTCAAATCTCGTTGTTTTCATCACTAAAACTAAGAAATGCAACAAAACCTCATGGTAGCCGAGCTAAACGCTCAGCTAAAACAAACATGCACAATAAATTCCAGCTTCGTTTTTAAAAACCTTAATCAGATTAAAACCTTAAAACTTGATTTTTTATTCAGCTTCTCGACTTTTTTCATGTATGAAAACAATTTGGAAGGCGTAAAAGAAACAGGAAAGAAAACTATCAACCAAAGACTGATTTTATCTCTGAAAACAAAAACAGAATAATCAGAGCTTGATAAAAAAAAGATCATCAGTGACCATAGTTGTCAACATCTCAAATTGGCAATGACAATCAGATCTTGGTAGTAAAAAAATCAGAAGTCAAATAGCGCAGTTTTCATCATTTGAAAAGAAAAGTACAATCTTATAACAAGTATAGCTAAACTTTAAGCTAGACAGCTTGATATGCAGCAATTTAAAGTGGAAAAGGGACAATTCAATTTTGATTAAACCAAATTTATACCATTAAAAACGCAAGTTTTTAAATGCTTCAGGTTTTTATTTTGCCGAAAAATTTTCGAGATAAAAAGGAAAACACGAAAAATTACAAAAACACGGACAAATATTAAATTTAAAAAAAGTAAAAGAATCAATTTTGGAGAAAAAAATAAGTGGTTTCCCCGGTAACTATAAAAATCTTCACTTATAAGAGCACAACAATCAGAGATCTTGGTGGAAAAAATCAGAAGTCAAATCTCGTTGTTTTCATCACTAAAACTAAGAAATGCAACAAAACCTCATGGTAGCCGAGCTAAAGGCTCAGCTAAAACAAACATGCACAATAATTTCCAGCTTCGTTTTTCAAAACCTTAATCAGATTAAAACCTTAAAACTTGATTTTTTATTCAGCTTCTCGACTTTTTTCATGTATGAAAACAATTTGGAAGGCGTAAAAGAAACAGGAAAGAAAACTATCAACCAAAGACTGATTTTATCTCTGAAAACAAAAACAGAATAATCAGAGCTTGATGAAAAAAAGATCATCAGTGACCATAGTTGTCAACATCTCAAATTGGCAATGACAATCAGATCTTGGTAGAAAAAAAATCAGAAGTCAAATAGCGTAGTTTTCATCATTTGAGTAGAAAAGTCTAATCTAATACCAAATATAGCTTAGCGCCAAGCTAGATAGCTTGATATGCAGCAATTTAATGTGAAAAAGGGACAATTCAATTTAGATTAAACCAAATTTATACCATTAAAAACGCAAGTTTTTAAATGCTTCAGGTTTTTTTATTTTGCCAAAATCGAGAAAAAGAGGAAAAACAAGATGCACTACAAAAACACGGACAAATATAAGATAAAAAACAATTAGATGAACCAATATTGGAGAAAGAAATAAGTGGTTTCCCCGGTAACTATAAAAATCGTCAGTTATAGGGCACAACAATCAGAGATCTTGGCTGAAAAAATCAGAAGTCAAATCTCGTTGTTTTCATCACTGAAATCAAGAAGCTCAACTAAAACGCATGGGAGCCGAGCTTAAGGCTCAAGAAAAACAAACACGCACAATTATTTCCATTTTCGTTTTTAAAAACCTTAACCAGATTAAAACCTTACATTTTAATTTTTTATTCAGCTTCTCGAATTTTTTCATGTATAAAAACAATTTGGAAGGAGTAAAAGAAGCAGGAAAGAAAACTATCAGCCAGAGACTAATTTTAACTCTGAAAAAAAAACAGAATGATCAGAGCTTGATGAAAAAAAAGCATCCTCAGTGACCTTAGTTGTCATCAACTCAAATTGGCAATAACAATCAGTTCTTGGTAGAAAAGAATCTGAAGTCAAATAGCGTAGTTTTCATCATTTGAGTAGAAAAGTACAATCTAATACCAAAAATAGCTAAACGCCGAGCTAGATAGCTTGAGATGCAGCAATTTAATGTGAGAAAGGGACAATTCAATTTAGATTAAACCAAATCTATACCATTAAAAACCCAAGTTTTTAAATGCTTCAGGTTTTTTTATTTTGCCAGAAAACTTTCGAGAAAAAAAAGGAAAAAAAGATGCACTACAAAAACACGGACAAATATAAGATAAAAAACAAGCAGATGAACCAATATTGGAGAAAGAAATAAGTGGTTTCCCCGGTAACTATAAAAATCATCAGTTATAAGGCACAACAATCAGAGATCTTGGTGGAAAAAATCAGAAGTCAAATCCCGTTGTTTTCATCACTGAAATCAAGAAGCTCAACTAAAACGCATGGGAGCCGAGCTTAAGGCTCAAGTAAAACAAACATGCACAATTATTTCCATTTTCGTTTTTAAAAACCTTAACCAGATTAAAACCTTACATTTTAATTTTTTTATTCAGCTTCTCGAATTTTTTCATGTATAAAAACAATTTGGAAGGCGTAAAAGAAGCAGGAAAGAAAACTATCAGCCAGAAACTAATTTTAACTCTGAAAAAAAAACCAGAATGATCAGAGCTTGATGAAAAAAAAATCATCCTCAGTGACCTTAGTTGTCATCAACTCAAATTGGCAATAACAATCAGATCTTGGTAGAAAAAAAACAAGAAGTCAAATAGAGTAGTTTTCATCATTTGAGTAGAAAAGTACTATCTAATACCAAATATAGCTAAACGCCAAGCTAGATAGCTTGAGATGCAGGAATTTAAAGTGAAAAAGGGACAATTCAAATTAGATTAAACCAAATTTATACCATTCAAAACGCAAGCTTTTAAAAGCTTCAGGTTTTTTATTTTGCCAAAAAACTTTCAAGATAAAAAGGAAAAACACGGAAAATTACAAAAACACGGACAAATATTAAATTTAAAACAAGTAAAAAAAATCAATATTGGAGAAAGAAATAAGTGGTTTCCCCGGTAACTATAAAAAACTTCACTTATAAGGGCACAACAATCAGAGATCTTGGTGGAAAAAATCAGAAGTCAAATCTCGTTGTTTTCATCACTAAAACTGAGAAACGCACAAACACTCATGGTAGCCGTGCTAAAAACTCAGCTGAAACAAACATGCAATTATTTCCAACTTCCTTTTTAAAAACCTTAATCAGATTAAAACCTGACATTTTAATTTTTTATTCAGCTTCTCGACTTCTTTCATGTATAGAAACAATTTGGAAAGCGTAAAAAAACAGGAAAAAAACTATAAATCAAAGCCTGGTTTTATCTCTGAAAACAAAACAGTAATCAGAGCTTGATGAAAAAAAAAACATCCTCAGTGACCTTAGTTGTCATCAACTCAAATTGGCAGTAACCGTCAGATCCTGGTAGAAAAGAATCTGAAGTCAAATAGCGTAGTTTTCATCATTTGAGTAGAAAAGTACAATCTAATACCAAAAATAGCTAAACGCCAATCTAAATAGCTTGAGATGCAGCAATTTAATTCAGATCAAACCAAACTTAAACCATTAAAAACGCAAGTTTTTATATGCTTCAGGTTTTTTATTTTGCCAAAAAACTTTCAAGAAAAAAAAGGAAAAACAAGATGCACTACAAAAACACGGACAAATTTAAGATTAAAAACAAGTAGATGAACCAATATTGGAGAAAGAAATAAGTGGTTTCCCCGGTAACTACAAAAATCATCAGTTATAAGGCACAACAATCAGAGATCTTGGTGGAAAAAATCAGAAGTCAAATCTCGTTGATTTCATCATTAAAATCAAGAAACTCAACTAAAACTCATGGTAGCCGAGCTTAAGGCTCAGTTAAAACAAACATGCACAATTATTTCCAAATTCTTTTTCAAAAACTTAATCAGATTAAAACCTTACATTTTAATTTTTTATTCAGCTTCTCGACTTTTTTCATGTAGAAAAACAATTTGGAAGGCGTAAAAAAAACAGTAGCGACAATTATCAAACAAAGACTGATTTTATAACTGAAAAAAAAACAGAATAATCAGAGCTTGGTGAAAAAAAAATATCCTCAGTGACCTTAGTTGTCATCAACTCAAATTGGCAATAACAATCAGATCTTGGTAGAAAAGAATCATAAGTCAAATCACTAGTTTTCATCATTGGAGTGGACAAGTACAACCAAATATAAATGTAGTTGATCGCCAAACGAAAAAGCTGGAGTTGTGGCAAATTTAATTTGAATGGACAATTTCATTTAGATAAAATCAAAAGTATACCACAAAATTTGCAAGTTCATAAATGCTCAGGTATCAAACAAAAAGGTTGATTACGTAGCAGCAATAGGTTGCATATATATCTGAATTGTTTTGCTTTGTGGTCATCTCGCACTTACCAATTTCGTGTCTGACGAAGTCCCATTGGGTGTGGATAGTCCTTAGTTTGGTCTCCACTTCTTTGGGCATGTGACTGCAGCACTGTCTCTTCACTGACTCCGCCAGGTGTCCGATGCGCTCCAAGGTCATTTCATTCCACACCATGTCTCGAGCCATCGCCTGTCAATATGTTACTATTCAATATATTGGACTAGAGGTCGACTTCAACTACTAACCTTAGCGTGTGCAACAGAATTAGAGAAAATAATTATCAAAAAAAAAAACAACTTCACAAAACTACAAGAGAAAATATCTGTGAAGGTATTCGATTTCGCTGCCCCTAGATATTTTCTGATATCTTTGCGAAATACTTCAAGTAGCAATTTATTTTAGTTTTTTTTGAACTTCAGTTGAAATTGCAGCATGATACAAACACGTGTTAGGGCATTGTCTTAATTTGATGACATGTTCATTGAAAAATTATTTCGTACCATGAGGTCCTGTAGTTTAAGGTACAGTTCAGCCGCATTCATATTCGAGTACTTTGTAGTCTTCAAATAATTCACTTTCTCCCTGACCCGATCCAGCCACTGTGCCAACTCATTGGACAGCTTGTTAAACTTGCTCCATTCTTCCACCAGCATATACACCTGCTCGTGTCGTTTTGTGACCGTCGAGAAGAGATCGTTCCAGTTCTGTTCGAACTTGGATGACCTCGTTTCAATTGAGGGACAGTTGATTGGGTTTTTGAACAGGAGGCGTGCTTTCTGTAACACCCTGTGAGCGTTGGATTCTTGTACGTACAGGTCAGCTTGCATGTCCTGTAAAATAAAATGTGAAAACATGAAACGTTCACCGGTTTAAAAATTCGGTTTTAGTCCATTAAAGGCCAGCCATAAAAAAAAGATCCCAATGAGTTTATTGCATTTATCCGAAAGATGTAAATTTTCAAAATAAAGAGGCGATTAATTTGTTGAATCTTCAGTTTACCAAAGCTGTGAGAACAGTGATGATCTTCCATCTTCTATTAATTTAATTATTTACTCAACTTTATAATCTGAAATTTCACATGAAAAATTATTTCAAATAATTGGAGGTGAATCGAACTATTTCTAACCATAAAGTCAAGAAAACAAATAAAAACAAAAAAATAAGTCCTAAGGCTAATTTAAACATACGCAAACTGTCACATTTTTGACCCTGATACCTAAAATTTTGTGGGTCTCAAACAGTTCTAATTTTACTACAAACCCTTCCCCAACACTAAAGGTGGTTGATCACAAGTATTAAATGGGGGTTACTACCCAACTAAATCAAGAAATTTATTTTCAGACCATACTGACCGTGAGTGTGGCCTTGAGGTCCCGTGCCTCATCCCATGTGTCCACTAGGATCCACATGTCTTCTCTCAGTCTAGCCACTGGGCTCTGCTGAGCTGTGCTCAACCACAACTCGGCCGAGTCCATGTCTCTACTCACACTCTCCCAATGCTCAACACTCATCTGCAGACACTTGCCAACTTCCGCTCCCTGTTAACAATAATCATAATTATAGTTCATAATAATAGACAGAAGCGAAGCAGAGCTTCGCGCCTTTTGCAATACAAAAATGACTGAATATGATTAAAAGCAAATTCAACACAGAGGGGAAACAGAGCTTCGCACAATTGCGATGGAAAATGTGTCTCGAAAAAAATGGAATATCACATTGCAAACAATTTTGAAAATCAGATTGAAAAAACATTGGAAAATATTATTGAAATTAGAACTAGCAACGAACTCAGTTTGACTCCAACTGACGTTTTAAACCTGCCAACTATACAAAATATACGCGATGAAACTATTCGTAAGCGGCACACTGATGCAAAAAAAAAGAATTCTGATTTTTCTACAGATAAGACAATACACTATTACCGGACAATTTCAAATCACTTTTCGAGAATCAAAACAAGTAAGAATAAGGAAACAACATACTTCACCTGAAAAAAAAACTCGAAACGATTCCACAAACAACAAACTTCTGAAAATCATAAACTTCGAAAACAATTACAGAACAATTCAACATCTAATAACTTTTCTTCTTGCTTAACGGAGAAATTGCTCAAAAAACCTCGAATCAAACAAATATGTAGAAACAAGAAAGAGAGGCTGCTAAAAACATACAAAAAAACTTTGAAAAATTCTGAAGCCGAAAACAAACGCCAATTCTAAATCCTAAAAAAAAGAAACTCCGGTAAATCAAAAACAAGTTTGAAGAAAGAGAAAGCTGAAAAAACATCAATAGAAAAAACGCAATTGAAATATTTTTGATAAAAAAGACAAAAAAGGCGTATCATTGAAATATCTTTATTTTAAAAAAAGAATGAGTCCGGAAACGTATCAATATTGTCTGGAAGTGAAATACTATTAAATAGAATATATATTTTTAAAAAACTGGCAACGAAAAACATAAAAAGTTATTTCGTTACTATTTCAACACATTTAATTTGTTTAAAGGAACACAACAAGTTAATCAGGAAAAGTAGCAGACAGCAACTCAAGTTGACAGAGTAAAACAGCAAATGCGTATAGCATTTTTGAATAAAATTACCCAAAAGGTTGTGTTGATTTAATTCTGATTTGACACAATTTTTTTCAAATGAAGTGGCTACCTTTAAAAAGGGTTAGAATACATTGACCAAAAAAAATAAAATCAAATGTCGAAAAACTTAACAAAAATGTGCGTTTTTATTGTTTTAGAAGGATGAATTAAATTTTTCTTAAACTTCATATTAGAAATCAATCGCTCCTGCAAAATACTAAAGAAGGTTAATTTGAAAAATTTTCGGAAATTACGCCGACACCTTCCAGCTCCGATATTCTACAGAAATATTTCGACACAGAAAAAAAATACTCTTGCAAAAACGCATAACAGGAACCCAAAGCCCATACCTAACATTCAACTACTAGACACTACACTTTCCATGGGTTATAAAAATGATTACCAATTCTTCTCTTCTGAGAACAAAGTTCTTTAAGGGAAAAAAAGCCTAGTACCCGATTGCAAAACCCTTGCAGTAAAGTCAAACCAAAAATTGAAGAAATAAATACTTCATAAAATTTTAAATTAAAATGTTGAAAAAAGTCTTGCATCAAAACTACCTGCACCATTGAAAACTTTACAAGGTGGTTTCGGAATGGTAGAAAGAATCGCAGATGTCCAAGATGTCCTTTCTGCGGTGACTAAGACGACAAAAATGAAACAGTATAGTTCAAAAACAGAATAGTAGATTCGATTCGCACTATTTACAAGGCGGAATGACTTTTCTGCACAATTTAGCAGTGTTAGAGACATAATTCCTAACACTGTTAACACTAACATGGATATAATAATAAGAACACTGCGGAAAAAAGAGGTGCCCTTCAATTTGAAACACAGAAGCGAAGTAGCATTTCGCATATACAAGCAAAAATATGACCGATAACGCTACTGGGAAAAACTGAATTAGTAAAACTTTGAGTCTACAAAATTTCTCATCGACGCACGCCAATTGTGAGTCTAAACAATTGCTCAGTGATACAAGCCAATTATGACGCATTAGCAGTACCAGTCAATTTGAGAAAAAAAGAAATTTACCAACTAACATGCCTCAATTGATATAACTGACGCATTTTAACTACTTTACGAAAAAGTTCATTTAAAACATCCGACTCTGCCCATGTTCGAACCCTCTTATTTTATTGCGGTCTCCTTCCCTACCTCTAGGCTACGAATCCAAGATACCTTGAAGCTATAGTGCTATTTGTATTGTAATAGTCTTTCTTATTAACCTTAGCATTGGTTGTACCTAAGAGATAGTTCTTGATCAAAATTAACACTTTCAAAATTAACACATTTTGTCGCAACAATATATGCGTCGCAACATCATTCTCGACTTAGGTTTGAAAAAAAAAGAAAAATCATAATATAACACAAGTTTTGCTTGTGTAATAACTGATACTCTCGTTTCTGCTTCAAAAATATACATGCGTTCATGACTACCAATATTTCGACCAATGCAACGCAGATGCAGGCTAGAGAAATTGGCGCTCATTTTGGTACTCAGGACGTTTTTCCCTAGAAAAATTTTGGAATAATCATCTGATTCAGTGATGTCAATTTAAAAAAATTTAAATTAATTTAAATTTTCCTTTAAACTTCAATTTACTTAAATGTTAAATTATCAGCCCACTCAAATTTAATGAAAAATTTTAATTTAAACTGAGCAATTTAAATTGAAAAAAACTCAAATTGCTCCGGCGCTATTCGATCCGACGCCAAAGTACAGAGCTTAATCATGATAATTAATTTCACATTTCCGCGAAAACCAAACAATCTAAATTTTCACAACAAATTTGGTGAATTTTTGTAGCAAATAGATATGCCCAAAAAATTGCTTGGGAATTCTTTTCACAAAATTGCAAAAAGTCCCCAAAATTGGCAGAAAAACTGCAAAAAACAGACTGAAGAAAAATTTAAATTTCTAACAATTTTTATAATTTTCTTGAGCAAATCTAATTTAAATTTCAATTTTTATTTTTTTAAATGGACATCACTGATCTGATTGTTAAAACGACAAAAAAATTTTCTTTAGATTAATACGAACATGGATGACAAAAAACTAACCGATATGCTCACAAGAGTCTGAAATATTCTGACATTAAACATTATGGTAAAAAATGAGACTTCACTAGAAATGAAAGAAAAATTAAAATGATGCTCGATTAGCTACCTTCTCCTTGAGCTTGAGTGTATTGCTGTTCAAGTGTGACACCTGTTCTGCAAACTGCTGCTTCAGACCTGCTTCCAGTTGGTCATAGAAAGAGTTCATTGCATGCCAGTGAGCGTCCAAGTCCTCAAAGAACTCCTAAAGTTTCACATTTTTAACTGTATTTATTAATTCATGGCAGCAGACTTAACTTCACTGCAAACTTAACTTCACGGCACCTCATCAGAACAATCCAATTTAACTTCGATTCTTGTCACTTTTTCCTCCTACTTCACACGCTTATATTCACACAAATTAACTGACAACCAGTGATTAACAGAGCTGCAATTTAATCTTATATCTCAAAGTTTTGCTTAAAAATCAACAGTAAGAGACCAAATAAAAATATTCAAAACATTTCTCCTGTCACCTTAAAACTTTCAAGTGAGACTGCAAGAGCTTCTGCATTCGAGGCCGACATGGAATCCGTCTCACACTTGAGTTTGTTCTCCACTCCCAGCAGAAATGTCCCATACTCGGACAGCACATGCGTGAATTGAACCTAAAAGGACACAGTTTTCCAAATTTGGATTGAAGTTACTTTTTCGAAACTTTTTTGTTTCCAACTTCCGTTCTGCATAATATAAATATTTTTAACAATTGCTTAAGCCGTTTAAATTAAAGCATCGTTTCTTTATATTGATTTAACCTACAACCAATGGTTTTACACAATTTCGTTACGAACAGGCCTTTATAACCAATTAACCTTGGTTCAAATATTAGCTTTTAGAACTAAATTCAGAATATGAGATCTCGCGCCCGACGAATTAATGTTTTGAAGGGATATATATATATAAAACCTGCAGCGAATGTAGGGACACTATTATAATTGGTTTTTGTCATAGTGCTTTACCAAACTACTTAAATTTCAACGATGTGGTTATTCGTTATCAGTTAAAAAGGATGTTGAACTCTTTAAATTGAAATAACTTTCAAGCATGTTATAAACATCTGTACGCAGATTTATAAACACCTTAAACAAGGAGACAAACCTTGAGCTCGTCGTCATTCAGTATTTTCGCCTCCAGTTGTTGCATGAAGTAAGTGACGTCATCTAAAAGACGTTCCAACATCGACAGACTGTTATCTGACTCATGATCGCCATTCACACTAGCTTCGACTGCCATCTCTCGGTGTTTCAAGGTCAACTCAGCCAAATCACTTTGAACTTTTTTGAATTCTTCTTGGTGTTTACTTAACATGTCATTTTTGTCGAGCGATGTCAAATCATTGCGTCTCAATGATTCTAATACGTTATCCCTCAAATCTTCTAACTTGTGGAATAGATTCCCAATGCCATCTTGTTGATTCTTTCTTGCTAGAGCATTTCGCTGAACTTTAGCATCTTTTCTCTTTATAGCAGTTTCAAGGTCGTTTACACGGGACTTCAGCTGAACAACAACTCGGTCAGCTTGATCACGTTTTGGGGCACTAGCATTCTCTCGCATGACTTCTGCGCATGCAGCGTTCAGGATCTCAATCTCAGTTTGAAAGGTTGTCATCTCCTTGAAAAGAATTTCATGGTCCATTAGCTGTTCCTCGCAAGACCTGACCAGTCCATTAGAGAATATCTTGAGCTCGACTGAGTCTAGCCAAGTAATAGCGTCGTTCAAGGCACCCATGTATTTGGTCTGCAATTCCTGGAGACGGTCCAAACGCCGGTCCTTAGATTTGACCTAAATCAAAGCTACTAGTGCTGTCACTTAACTCCTGCATTACATGTCTCAACAAAAAAACTTAATCTTCGATCAAAACCATTAAGACAAAACTTTACAAAATGTCATTACATTTCTTCATTTCAGCCTTATGAGACGCAGAGAGTAATTACTTAATGGTGGAGGGAGCGGAGGGATGCCCGCCATGAGCAGAACCTATCATAGAAAACCCTACAAGCAGGGTTGCATAAAAATCTGATGACGATTGATTTAAACCCGATTTTTATTATTTTACCTTGATTTTTTTCGATTTTTATTGGAAACGTTTTTGTTTCAAGAATCAATTAATTTACGCAAAATTACTGATTCAGCATCCGAAAGAAGAACAAGTTACCCATATTTTTCAATTCCCAGTCAATTTCTGAGACTGGAATGGATAAATCCGAAAGTGCTGAAAAAGTTTGCCAGTTAAAAGTATGCTATGAAGAGCGAATTACATAACCAAAGTAATATACTGCAAGCTGGGTTGTATGTTTACCGCGGCACTTGGCAGGATAACACAAGGGTTGATTTTTTTGATTTTTATTCTACGATTAAAATCCGATTTAAATCAATGATTTAAATCAAGTTGATTTTAATCATGCAACCCTGCCTACAAGATATAGACTAGGTTCCTTACATCTAAAAACACTGCAGATAAACATTGTTCTGACTTATTGACATATCTTCTTATGGTGAAATATATTCTTACCTGGGATATGAGTGTCTTCCAGCAGTTTTGAATAGTCTGAAAGTGAAGTTGTAGAGCACGAGTGGACGCATCTGGCTCATACTTGTGTGACATTTGGCGCGACTCCAGAGACTGCATAGCATCATCCGACACGGCTATTAAGTTCTCCTGAAATGAAACCTTGCTTTATTTAACTTTGCGACATTTTTTGATGATGATATTTCTCACTATTCAAACCGACTCGTAGATATCATAGAGATCCGCTGTTCATAGTCACAACTAAACAATATAGTTCTTTTTAATTGCCGACAGTTCCGAGCAATCAATTTGCTGGTTGCAATAACGCAGTCGATTGCAAGGACGGCGACCATCTCCGACAAAACCGACATCAATAAGACTTACCGTGAATGCAATTCTCTGTGAACTTGAAGCCGCATTCAGCGTTGGCACATTATTAGACAGCACGCTCATAATCTTCGCCTGGCGCTTTTCTAGTCTGTGCTTCAGGTAGTTCCACTGATCAATGAAGCCAGAACTGGTCGGCACTGACACGAAGCTACTTTCTGTGTCACTTCCTTGATCATCTTCTGTGGGTAGTTGGGAGGTTTCTTGCACTGTGTATGGCTTTGTCATGCGCAGAAACTCCATGCCTTCTTCATGTACTTTGGACATGAACGCTTCAAGCTCTCCTACTTCAGCCTTAATTGCCTGAAGAAACAAACAAATAAGGAACTCATCAGTTATTTGTTAACTCTTTAGTTAGAGTTTATTGCTGATATAAAGTGATTGAACTTCATATTTTCCCTTTTTTCATTAAAATTTTCAACCTTCAAATTCATTCAAAGTACATCGTATCAATAAAAACATAGTCAACATAGTCAGCCAGTTGGAAAAGAGTAATGAACGCAAGGAGAGAAAAAAACTGACCTAGTGTTTCACAAAAAAAATGAACTTTCGAATTTTTAAAAAATATATATGGCCTTACAGCTAAAAACAATTTAACATTGGTGCTTCAATTTGAGAAAACTGGATCAACAGGTTAAACTTTTATTTCGCTGGGAAATCTGATATTCAAAATCTATACCCTATATTGGAAGTCGATCACGTTATTCGTGACCTTTCCACTTTTGTTGTTCCATAGTGGAGTTTGCCTTTCGTTTAACATGAGAAATGAAGTGACCTTAAAAAAAATCAAAAGTCAAACAGCGAAAAAATCAAAGTTAAGCTTGAAAAAAATTTAAGAATTTTTCCTGAAAAACAAAGAAATCGCCAAGACCTATATAAGAGTAGTCACTGCGTTCATCGTTCCTAAAAATAAGCGAGCCGGACCCCCAAAAATCATAACTGAAACCGCAAAAACTCCACAATTTTAAGATTTTTTTTCTGCAAAAAAAAGAAATAAAAAAATTATTTTACCGCGACTCGAATAAGTGTCTTCGTTCACTAAGACTTCAAACAACTGATTTGATAGAAGAAGTTAGATCAACATACAACATTTCCACTTCATCGATTTCATTATGATCGGTTTCATTTTTCTTATTGGACGACATGATTTGAGCTTCATTTGTAAAAAAGACTTCCTTTGAAAAAAAAGAACATTCGAAAAAAAAGCCTCAAAAAAATAAAGTAGAAGTCAGACGCCAAATACAAAACAGAATCAATTCAGATTACTTCGCTTTCCTTGAAAAATTGGAAACAGAAAAAAAACTGTCTCGTTTTGGAGGAAAAAAAACTTTCGAGAAAAAAAATACTTTACGAAGTTCCAACCCGGACATCTGAGCCATTTGCCTTAAACATTTAGCCATGGCAACTCGCCTTTATCAACTTTAACCAATACTTTATTCTCAGGTATCAAGAAGCAAAAAATTTTGTTTCAACAAAGAGAATATAGTTCGATAATATGCTATGTGAAGAGCGCATAAAGTTACACAACTTGGGTTGGACAAAATTGTCTAATATTATAACACTACACTTGCAAGCTTGTTTGTGAAATAGATACAAAAAAAATCGTAATCTAAACACCTAGTGATTGTCCGGTTAAAATCATCTGCTTCAAAACTCAATTTTTTGCACATGTTTCAAAGAGGATAGTTTTGTTTTGCATTTGAAAGCCGAAAACTTAAAACTGAGCAAAATAATATCAAACAAACTTTTCAATTTTCTCGAGTACGTTTTTAAAAACTTTCTACCGTACGTACGCTATGTTTTTTCCATCCAATTCTACTTGTAAAATGTCTTTTGTACCTAACTAGATGTTATATTGAAACTCCTTTCGTCATAAATCGGATTCAAGATTGCCTCAATCGAATGGAGAAAGCTGGATTAAAAGGTTTTTTTTTAAAACCTTTCAAGCAGAAATCCACATTTGAAATAGAAAAAAAAATCACCTTTTAGCTCCATTTGCATTTTAAAAATTTGAGGTTTATTTGAAATGAAACCAAAAAACAAACCAAAAAAAAAGTAAAAAAAATTTGAACGCAAATTTTTTAAAAACGATCAGCCAAAAAAAACTTGAAACCTAAATAAAAAAAGCAATTGGAAGAGTCAACGAACTCAAGTAAGCAGAAAAATACTGGCTTGATTTTTAATTTGAGTGAAAAAATACATGTCTTCAAAGCTCTTTGACTTTTTAAAACAGTTTATGATTCACACTTCTTTTATAAAAGTAACTAATTTGAGAAAAATGGATCAATAGGGAAATAAATTTTTCGCTGTGAGATCTGATTATTAAAATCCAATTTCAAAAGCAAAAGTTGATCACGTGTTTTGATAAGTTCACACTTTCGCTGTTTGATAGTGGAGTTTGCCTTCCTTCTAGCAAAAAATGAACTGAATTGAAAAAGAGTATGTTTTTGCTCTTTCACACATGTTCTTTCACGACAAGGCATGAATGAAAAATGAAATATTAGAACGCATGAATGAAAAAAGAAATCATTTGCAAAGTTTCGCGCACTTTTCACAATTTTCCGGGCTCTTTTTTTGAAAGAAGCCCGATTAAAAAAACTTGAAACCTAACTAAAAAAAACAGTTGGAAGAGTCATCAGGCAGGTATTTCGATCACGTGTTTCGATGACTTCACACTTTCGCTGTTCGATAGTGGAGTTTGCCTTCTTTCTGGCAAAAAGTGAACTGAATTGAACTGAAAAAGAAATGAAAAATCTTCGGATGTTTTATTTCCGAAGCGACGTTAGTGAAAAAAAATAAAACCAAAAAGAATTAGATACGGGGACGGGTGAGGGGTATTCTCATGATTGAGGGACCGAATGATGAAAAACTTTTAACCAATCAGAATTCGTATTGCACAAAACCGAAGTCATTAGTAACAGAAAATGCATTATAGTAGCAAAGCAAAGCTTTGCTGTACAATTCGCGCAGATGAACAAAATTTTTTGTTTAATTTTTTATTGAATTAATTTTAGGTTTTTGCCAAAATCTGACTTCGATTTCGCAATATTTGAAATTCATGTATCTGCTTGTTTTCTAATCGGTCAATAACAATTTTAATGGCCAGGATTTATTCGCTTTCTTCGAGATTTCTTTTGAGATTGTTGAATACTCAATCCGATTGGCTGAAAACAAATGAAAAAAAAATCCAACATTCGGTCCCTCCATCATGAGAGACGCCACCGGGCTATTAGCATGTGTGTCGATTGGCATGCCCATGTAAAAACATGTAGTTTTAAGACTCACTAGGTCAAATTTTGTTTACTCAAATTTGCCATTTTCATCAACGTGCACTTGGCCGATTTTTTAGGCAAAAAATGTTTATTTAATTAATAAATCGAGGGTGTTCTGAAACTAGTTGAACTCAAGGCTTTTTCATCTGAACCCACACTCTAATATAAAAAATTAGCACATGCTAATAGGCACACATTCTAATCGCAACACCCCACAATATGTCATCTTGAGAATTTTCCACGGTTAGTAAGACTTTCAGTTCCAATCAATAGATTTCTGCAGTAAACTTTCTTGGTAGAAATCAAAACATTGTTAGTTTAAAAATCAATTAGAATTATAAGGAAGACAGAAAAATCGTTTCAGAGCCAATCACCTGGGTCGAGACAAAAAAAATAGTCAGTTTTAGTTGGGTTAGTAATATCGTTGGTACGGTTATGCGTGGCCCAATAATCCTTGTTTCTGTTATAAACGGTGAAATCATTGTGGTGAAAGAAATCCACGACGGAGTGATTTGCACGTTGGAGAAATGTTGCAAGCGTTACGATTTTTTACGTTTTGCATGGCTTCTGTGTCGCGTGCAGCAGCAGATATCTCTGATCCGATCACTGCAGGCAGAAGAAGATCTGGCGGGTTCTGTCTCGACTGGAGCCACTTCTGAAGATTGGACACCTGGCTCTGGATAGACTCGATGTCCTCATCTTGTTTGATGCACAGACGCAACATCACTCCGAGGTCAACCACTTTTTTCTGGAACAAGCAACGGTGATATATTATAATAGACGGCAATTTTGAGAACCATTTGAGTAGTGCATGTATTAAATTTGAGAACTTTTATGCATAATAAAGTCATTTCATTTTCAGTCAATTGTACATGCTACTAGGATAGTTTTTGTTAAAATATTACTCTGCGACCTATTTTAATACATCACCCAGGGGTCGCATCTAGGCGAATTTTGTTGAAATGGGGGACATTTAAAATTTTTTTGACCTTTTGGGCCAACTTAATTGGTTTCCGAGCGCCCTCAGAAGACCATAAGGACCCTATTTCGACAAAATTTTCTGCATCGTTTTTGGGCACTTCTTAGAAAAATCTCAAGGTTGGTCCCCAAAAATGGATGTCAAAAATAAAACCAAGGGGGGGGGGGGGGCTTTGGTTGCTGAGGGGGTTTGAATCCCTTGAGGGGCATCCGCAAACCCCACGCCCTCTAATCCTCCCTGACATCACCCACTCAACATAGTTCGCGTTTCAACTAAGATGTATTGAAAAAAAGTAAGCAATATTCTTTTTTTTTTCATTTTACGATTTCTTTCCTTTGTTTCATGATGCTGTCTATCATTGATGTGCTATTCAAGGGCAGCTATTAGTTGACCCTCATGGTCTCTTAAGTTGTTCCTTCTGATGAGAACTTCTGATGAATTTAATTTATATCCTGTCAATGAATGTATTTACTTATCGGAAAAATAAACTTTCTTTCTTTGTTTATGTTCCTAGTGACAAGATCAAATTAACTTCAATTAAATATTTAGACAAAGTGAAAGATGGCGAGCCGAAAAAATTTCATCAACAGCGGAGCAAAAAAAGGTCCGTTTCATCTAATTAACTTTAGTTGCAAGAAAAAATTATCTGAAATATACAGATTCAGCAAAGGCATCGGAGGCTAATTGAATGTTCTTATTTAGATCGGCCTATGCTGCCATACTCCAGGCTGTTGTTTCTGTAACTGAACTATTTTCAAGGCACAATTCAGGATAAAAATCTTATCACTGCTAAAACTTTGCGATACAGGAAAACTATTTCAACTGAAAATTATTTGAATACAAGAACACAACACCAACTTTGGCTAGCTCTGTAAGTTCCCCGAACTGTGAAATGATTTCTTCCAAGTGAGACTTTCCCTGTTCATTGGGTGCTCCTCCTTCTCTCAGCATCTCTTCTGCTAGTCTCTTGCGGATGCGACTCCCATTCTCGATAACCTACAAAGCAATAACTTACAGAGCCTAAAAAATTTAAGCAAAAGTCTTCGGCAAATAATAACAAAATAAAAAGCAATCAAAGTTAACTAGCTGAAAAAACGTGTCTTCCTTAGGGCTTTTTAGTTAAAGACAACATTGTGGACCAAAGGAAAAACACCAAATTATTATTTTATATTTTAAACTTTCATGTGAACAAGACTTTGAATTAACTCATGAAATATTAACCTCTGAATGTTCCAGTAGTTCTTTCAGTATGGCTCGGTCGAAGGTTACAGACACCTCGGCCGTGATCTGGTCGAATGACTCATTGTACCAAGCGACTAAATTGTCCAATTCCGCATCGAACTTCTGTTGCCCGTCACTCCTCTCTCGGTCCTCTTTCAGTAGTTTCTTTAAAAAAGAACAAAACAATAAATTAAATAAATTGATCTGGAATTCAAATGACTTAGTCGAATAGAATAATCGCGTCTTTCTCGCTATTCATCTGCCACTCTTGCCTAGCAATTTTGAGGTAAATAAATCTGTATTTCTGTTGATATGCTTAAGAAAAGGTATTTAGGATTCCAGCACTCACAGACGCTTTTCTTGCACGCTCTCGGTTTTCAGTAATAGCTGATTCCACCCGCTTCGTCAAGTCTGCCACTTGTGCTTGGAGTTCCGAAATTGGACCCGGTTGCAACATCGTTTCTTCATCGCCGCCAGCGATTCCATCAAGATTATTCAAGTCCACATCGCCCTCATCGTCAGCAATCATGTCTGCTAATTCAGAAACCTGGAAAAAAACTCTTTAAGCCAATTCAAGCATTCACGACAAAGAAGCAATATTTGTCTTGAAAAATGATCTCGATTCTAATTAAATCACATGGCAAGAAGGCCTATAATGACCAAAAAAAAACATTGTAATACTGGTCTCAGATGTATTTCCGGATGACATTTCCCTCTGATGGTGAAGGGAAAATTTGTTTGTAAAAATCGAATACTGAATTAAATAAGATATATAAATAGAAAGAGTAGAATAATGAATGTAAAGTTATGGTTTCCAGATTGAATAAAAGTTGACAAAACTTTCTTGACTAGATTTCACACCTTAGGCTTTCGCAACTGGCATTTTAGCATTCTAAAGTGACATACGAATAGACTGGTGAGATATGTCCTTGAATCAAATTAATGCACTATAATGAATAGATAATAAGACATAGTTATATAAGATATACATAAATAACTAGAATAGAGTGAGGTACCGAAGGTCGCCTCATGACATCTCCCCCTCTTGAAAGAAAAATTTATCGAAGCATAAATTTTTGACTTTTGATTAGTCAGATTTACATCTTAATCCACTATCGCACCTGCTGAAAGTCGAATAGCAATCTAACAGTTATGTGAATATGGTAAAGTTTGAGCGAGTTTCAGGTTTAAGAGTTATTTTTCAGGTTCCTCAATTCGTGTTTTCTTGAAGGGGTAGCTTGATCTTTCGTCCTCGGGAAAGGCAATTGACCTCCTTTTCAGCCGATCGGGACAAATGGTGGTAATAGGCGTCTGCTCTATGGCTGGTGTTTGTGGCGATGGCTCGGTAGTCTCTGATTCCGTGATACTCTTGACAGTGGCCAAGAGGGTCGCCGAAAAACCTCGTGGTTTCTTGGAGCGTCCAGAAGACCGGGTTGATTCGCTCCTCGCCTGTTCATCGGCTTCAGTAGGTTCTGTGGTAGCCGCGCCCTGAACCTCTTCTTATTGTACATTCCCAGACGTTTGTGGCCCCGATTGAGCGGACGGTTCAAGAGGCGTCGCCAAAATTTCCTCCGACGAGGCTGGTGCTGTGGCGGTGGTTAGCGGCATTGTGGTTGTCTGTGGTGATTCATTCGCCTGAGCTGCGCTCTGTGGCGCCGATCCGGGTGCCTCAACTAACTCGAGCTGCGGTCTAGTGATCAACGAGTCCTCACTTGACTACTCCGCAGTAAAGTCTATCATCTTGCCTCTGGAAGGTTCGCTGGTTTGTCGCTGGACCGGTGAAGCAGACTGTTGAGGGTGAGGCCGGAGGGCAATCCGTCTTTGGAGTCTTTCTCCAACTGTGCCAGGCGTAGCTGAAAACTCAGGGGAGTTAAAATTATGTCTTAAGCTTAGATGGTTTTTTCGATAGACTTTTCCCTTGTCGGTAATGTAAGTGTGGTCCGTAATACGGACGATCTTGATTTTAGCTAGTTTGAATAGAGGTTTTCCAGAGTTCCGATCAAGCACTTTTCGAAAAATTTTGACTCTTATAGGGTCTTGGAAAACTAGATTTTCTAATTTACGTGTCTTTGAGAGTCTTTTTGGCCTCGTTGAAGACGACACATTCACTCGCTGAGAATGTGATAAAGCCGGCACCGGCGGGTCTCTAACGTGATCGTAGAATCGGAGTGTCCCCTTCGTGATTCAGGACTTTAATGAGGTAGCTAGGTCACTGTTTCGTGCGGCTAGTTCGCGAAGAAGTTCGCGTCCCTGTTGCGGTTGCACATTGCGTTTCAGTTGGCTCCAAGTGTTCGCCACCTTAGCAAGATTCTCCAGGGCCTTGTATGTCTGGCTGTCCGCTAACCTACTGCCCACTCCAAAAAGTGGTCTGAACTTGAAGGGAATGTCCGGACTATGTGAAGCTCCTCTCGGCACAAGTTTTGCCCTATCCCGGCTGTAATCCTGACTCGACCGCTGCTCCGGTGTTAAGAGGTTCCTTTCCAGTCCTTGCGGTGAAGAAGGAGAACGAACAACATTATCACATGCTATTGAGAATTCCGTATTAGGTTTTCTCCCGTAGTGTAGCTCAAAAGGAGATTTTTTTTTAATGTAGCATGTTTTGTTTTTCGAGTGTCGTCAACGATTTGTTGTAATGTTGAATTCAAGTTTTTAAAACTAGGATCTAATCTTTCGGTTCCTTACTTCCGTTTGATAGTTTGATTTGACCGTTCAACCAGCCCGCAGCTTCGATGATCTCCCACCGCTGTGAGGACATGTTTTATGCCTCTACTTTTACAAAATTCATTAACAACATCAGATTTGAATCCAGAACTAATGATCCGTTCTAATGATTTCCGGGATGCCATGATTACGAATGTATGATCTTAAGAATTTGACTATTTTTTTTCGCACTCGTTGTTTTAGTTCTATTTTTTTCGCACTCGTTGTTTCGCAGGTTATTTCGAAAAACGGTCTTAAATCTTCCCCTCTTTATCATCTATTATCGGGCCCGCAATACAAGTTGGATTTTTTGATTCGGAGCTGACAACGGTGGTAGTGGCTTAGCAGAGTTATAAGTTGTTGAAGTTTTGATATTCTTACCAAATAGAGTATATTCCGGGCATTTTTCGCAGACATTAACTATCTGACGATTGAGGAACGGCCACCAGATGTATTCTGACGCATCCATAATAGCCGCCTGTCCAGGAGGCCACCGGTGAAGGCGAGTCAGAATGGCACTCCGTAGCTAGCTGCTCGGGTATGGCCACCTTATTGTCTATCAGGACAGTTATTTACAACCGCCGCCTTCGTCCAGAATTGGGCCATGTACGCCCTCATTTTGTTATTGGTCCTAGGAACGTGTCTTCTCCTGCGAGCTCCCCCAGTAGGTCGACGTCAAAAAGTCCTGGGAGGCCGACAACTTCCTCTTATCTCGCGTGACCAAGGGTTTATGGTTGTTGATGACATTGACTCCCATCCTGACCACTGCTTCCTGTCGGGCCTTCTTTGCCAGTCTCTGCCTCCGGTAATTGTCCAGGAATTGAGCCAGGCACTTTCCTGCGGACTGTCCACGAGCGACCACAAAGCGGTCTTTTGAGTATTTCAGCCTGGCCAGATTTCGGGTCCGTACTTGATCAACTCGGCTTGGGCGATTCATGCAGCTAGCTCTTGAGGGTCCGTATCTCTAATGACTAGGAGTGCGGAAGTTAGGGAAGCTTGTACTAAAGTTTTCGACAAAGTTAAGGAGAGTTGCTTGTTCAATCGTGTTGTTTGCCAGATCAATGGTATTAAAAGATGTATTGGAATTATTCAGATTAGAGTCTTGAGAAAATTTTTTCGAGGTATTCATATCGTAACTTGATTTTGAGATGTAAGGTCGGAGACAATGATTTCTCTCGCAAACTTCTGGTTTAGCGTATCTCATTTGCATACGAGGCTGTGATTGGTCGAGCGGATTGGAGCATGAAAAGTCGACCTCTCGCGACGAGAATATAAAACCACGATTTTGCATACTAGCCTTTGATTGGCTGATTATCTGAGAGCATGATTGAACGCCCTCTAGCGACGAGATATCGTTACTAGAAATTAACCTATCCTCTAGTGATTGGTTTGGTATTTGGTTAGAAAACGCGACGCCCTCTATGGACGACGAGCTTAACTGGTTGCAAGAATCTGATTGGTCAAATGAGTCGATAGATGATTTGTCAACCGCTTTAGTTAAGAGGTGACGAATATCACCTACAATGTCACCGGACGTTTTGCTTGGTTGAAATCGATAATGATTTGATACCTGCCCCACAGGCACTATTTTTGATCTAAATGGAATGCGGGTTGAGTTTAAGCCATTATGAAAGGCCTGAATTGATTTAATGACGAAGAATTCGTCATGCGATGACGGTAAATGAGCTTTAAATGTCGGGTGTCTCGACATGTAATCTACAATGCCCAGGGACGAACCCGGTACATGTTCAATTTCATAATCACAAGGAATGAGGCGATCCGCCGAACGAGAGAGTCGCGACTGATACGACTTCTTGCCATACGTTTCATTGAGTGCTGAGATATTCGCTTTGTGATCAGTTAAGATGACAAAACGTTTACCAAGTAAGTATGTACTAAAATGTTCGCACGCCCAAACAATGGCTAAAAGATCTAACTCATTAGTGCTTTATTTGGTTTCTGCTGAATTTAGAAATCTAGAGGCGAACGCTATCGGGGCCCAGACATTTGGTGCCACCTCCTAAAATTTTCTGAAAAGCTGTATCTTGCTCTTCTCCCCACAAAAAAGGATTTCTTATTCTCCGCTTTCGGAATGCGATGATGTTCGGAATGCGACCGTATACTTATGCAAGTATGGAATGAAACGTTGGAGATGATTGAGAGTTCCCATAAATGATCTTAGTTTCTTAAGAGTTTTCGGTGGCATAAGTGATTTGATAGCCTCGATTTTTGAGAACTACGGAGCGTAACCAGATTCATCGATCTCGTACCCTAACCAGACAAACTTGTTAACTGAGAACTCACATTTTCTTAGTTTCAGCGCCCATCCTTCATCGTTCAGTCGTTCCATGACTTTATCGACTAGAAGGTTGTGATCGTCAACTCCTCCTTTAGTGACCACCAGTATATCATCAAGGTAACATATGACTCCTTCCAATCCTTGTAGGGTACAGTCCATCGCTTTCTGGAATTCCGTGGGCATATCCGTCAATCTGTAGAAACCGGTTTTGAATCGATACGTGCCTGTTGCTTATCCACACAAAATACTAAAGTTACAATGACTACTGGTTAGGTCCGATAAAGGTAACTGACTAAAAGCATATTTGAGATCAAGAGATGTAAACCACACTTTTCCAGGTGTGTCCTTAGTGATGATTTGAGCCGCCGAGTCAATCAATTCATGCATATTAGGCATTTGATACTTGTTCTGCCAGATTTGGGCATTCATTGGTTTAGCATTAAGTGCTAGTTTTATCGACCCGTCCTTTTTTGCAGTTAGTACTATTGGTGCAATAAAATTGTATGTGGTACACTTATTCAGTTTTTCAATGTGTTTATCCTTGATTAGTTTTTTAATCTCGGCCGGGACTCGGTCTTGTATGTGAATGGGGACTTTTCGGCCTTTAACTTGTCTAGGTATCAAAGGGTCCTTAAAGTTAGTGAACACTTTATGGCTTTCCGACTTCCCCAGTCTGCTGAACACATTAGGGTAGCTTTTCACAAAGTGGTCCCTCCAGAACTTAGAGGTTGGGTCCATTTCCTCCACATCCTCCGCGAAATTCACTTCTGTTGGCTCTCGTTGGATAGTTTCAATTGCCAATTGTCCGTGAAGGTTTAACCCGAGCAAGTTCCGTGTTCGATTCTCGGACACCATGAAGCACGGGTTGTCGATCTTCCATCTCTTTGACGCGATCGGAATTTCTAACGAACCAAATAGCTTGATTGGTTATTTGTTGTATTCCACGTATGCGACACCTAATGGATATCTCTCGGCGTCCTTGAACTTTGCCTCTGGAAGCCGTCTCAACAGTGTTTCCGCCGTTTTGTTCAGGAATGAAACGGGACTACCGGTGTCCACCGTAGCATAAAAAAAGAGTTACCGGATCGTAGTTGGATACTGAGGCTCCTCGGTTTTCCTCCCTCTGCCTTCAAGAGTTCTACGTTGTTGATCTGTACGACGTCTACCGCCATAACTCCATATTCCGGTTCACTATTATCATTTACGTCAATGAAGTTGCACTCTTGATCGGAAGATGTATCGTTTTGGTGTACCAAGTTAACGCGACGCTTTGCGGTGTTATATACTTTGGCAAAATGGCCTTTATTTTTACATGCATTGCAAGTAGCTTCTCTGGCCGGACACGACCGGCGGTGCTCGAGGGAAAATGGGTTACCACAGAAGTAACAGGGCTTGTTCTGAATTTGGCGTTGATTGGAACGGTTTGGGCCTCCTCCGCGACCGTTGTTTCCTTGGTTCCCGAACTGCTGTACCGAAGAAGTCGGTTCTTGTTTGACCCGAATAGAACTGGCGTTTATCGAGGACGAGTTGTTATGTGGTAGTAACTTTTGAAATTGCTCCGACGTCTTGGCCCCCTTTTCATTCTCCAATGCCAATTGCAGAGTATCGTCGAGGTTGGCTTTCGCCCTGATTAGTTGACGTTGGACCTCTACATCCCTAATGCGACCAATAAACAAGTGCTTTAAGGTAGCTTTATCTTGTTCTATCGGCCAATTGCACAACGCCAATTGAGCCAATTGAGCGCTAAGTCGTGCGTAGAATGAGGAAAACGAATCATTCTCCTGCATAAAAATTGTATTATACAACTTGATTCGTTCGACTGTATAATCTCGCTCTGCCTTGAAAAGATCTTCACAATATTTGTGAAAATCGATGAAGGAGCATGTATTTAGGTCCTGATGGGGATAAGAATCCAAGAATCTTTTCTTTCCCTCATTTCCCAATGAGAAAAAGAGTCTAGATTTCAGACGCGCCTCTGCCTCATGATAATACCAATTATGATCGATATGTGGGCCTTTCTGTCTCCTTTCTTCGTTGTACTCATCGATTCTTCTATTCGCTGCTGCAATTCGAAGAGTCCTACTAACGACGTCTGCTGCATTCTCATCGATTCCCGGAGGTTCCGGCTTCGGGTAAGGTTCATCCAACAACTCCGCTGGGGCAACTAACACCTCCCCGGCGAGATATTGTCTTTTAGACTAATGGTCAAAAAAATTGTCCCACCCATGTCTCCCAAATAAATGGTGGGTTAACCGATGATTTAGCCCAAAATGGGGGAATTCCGAGTAGGTCAGTCCTGTCTTCATTCACAGGAACTGCTGGCTGCGCCATGACATTTCCCTCTGATGGTGAAGGGAAAATTTGTTTGTAAAAATCGAATACTGCATTAAATAAGATATATAAATAGATAGAGTAGAATAATGAATGTAGAGTTATAGTTTCCAAATTGAATATGAGTTGACAAAACTTTCTTGACTAGATTTCACACCTTAGGCTTTCGCAAGTGGCATTTCAACATTCTAAAGTGACAGACGAATAGACTGGTGAGATATGTCCTTGAATCAAATTACTGCACTATAATGGATAGATAATAAGACATAGTTATATAAGATATACATAAATAACTAGAATAGAGTGAGGCACCGAAGGTCGCCTCATGACACCGGAATTCAATTACTAGGACTTCGCTCTACTTGAAATCTTTGCAAGGAAGGCATAGTGAAAAGTTCTTAGTTCTCATTTAGACAGACGACTCAACATCAAAAATCATAGTCAATCGAAATAGATTTCATTCTAACTTTTATTCAGCCAAAACATAGACTTCGTGTTTTCTAACAACGATCCATAATTTTTTCGCTTTATTTATACTTACAATTCGATTTAAGTTTCGACAACTCTTTTGAGTTTAATCAGACGACCTACCTCCATTAACCTCGGCTGAAGTGCTAGAAGCTTCTCATAGTTGGAGTCCAAAGTGTCAATTTGTTCTTCCAGCGGAAGGGAGTCAAGAGTGTCCATGGAGGCTGTGTTGTCGGCCAATTCCCTCTCTACTTCACCCAAAACCCGTTGGTAGTCCAGCTGTTGTTGCAGCGCCTCCATCAGTTCAATCTGCCGTGCGTCCATCTGTGAAAACACAAATCGAGCAAACAAAGAAAAAAAAACAAATTATTACCAATTCGCATTTTTTTCACATACCCTGAATCAAATCCTTGTAAGAGTACTAATTTTTTGTTCAGAAATGTCTCTGAAAAGTTTGATGATTTCTGCTGACTAGCTAGGTTCAACTAAATCACCTGTGCCTGGAGGCTGTTCCAGCACTTGTTCAGCTCGTTCAGTCTCTCCCTCCTGCTTTCGCCAGGCTGTCCGTCCTCCGTCTCAAGTTTGAAATCCAGGTACGCAGCAGCCTCACTGTCACTCGACTCGCCCGAGAGAGGAGTGCGGGAACCATCGCTGAAAATCGAGTCACCGAGTTTTATGAAGTAACTAAGAGTGAATTTTCAAAAAAAGAAACATTATTCTGCCATTTAATATTACTGAACCCAATTTAACTAGTTTGTCGTCCAAATCTTATTTTACAAATGCATTCGATTTTGGTTAGCCCTGTGTAGGTAGGTAGCATCTGTGGATTCGTTCCATAGTTTTTGGAGACTATTAGGAGTGATTTCTAGCTAGATAGTAACTGAAGTAACTAGAGAGTTAAGTTTAGCTAATTTAAACTCTCATTGGTTTAGAAGCACTGCTTTGGAAGGTTCCAAATGTTCATACCAACACTTAAGATCAAAAATCTGTCATACCTTGGAGTTATTGTTCCATTCCCATTGTTCAAAGTGGGAAGGTGCGGTTTCTCGATATTCAAAATAGAATCTTTCTTTTTAATCGTTGTCGGACGTCCTCTTCCTCCCATTGCGCCAATGGAGGAGACGGACAAATCACCTCGCAGTTGCTCCAACTCAGCCAAATTCTTCGATATTTTCTCAACCTCCACATTATTCTCCACTTTTCCATCACAAATAGGCGATATTTTGGAATCAAACCCAATCTGAGGAGATAAATAAGACAGGTTACGTCGATTGGGAGAACTCGCTTTCTGCCGATTCATTTTCACCGATAGAAATCTGTTCTCATATTAAGTGTAAGATAAAAACTGTGCGGCACTGCATATTACATTTGATTTTACGTATATTAAATTTAGCAGCAGTATCAACAAAATGTTCAAGCAATATCAAATTTAATCAAAGATGAGAGCCAGTTTTTTACCGTTTATTTTCATGCACCAATATATTTTTGTTCGTTCTTTAAAGATTGGCAAGCGCTTTGATTATTTTAAGAGTCCGCCACTTATCGCAATATCGACCACCGTTTAAACTGTTTAGTTATGAATATGACAGTCGAAAATTATAAAGCCTCAAACAATTTAAACTATTACAGCAGAGTAGTATTAGGTGTTTTTACTCGCAGACAGGAAAACTCACTTGAAACTAATTGAGCACGTCCCGCGTTATGACATATTGAGCTATCTCTCCCACGTTACAAAAAAAAAACATTTTATTAACAGAGGTATTATTAACCAAAAGGCGAAGCAAAATAAAATACAAAAAAGTACAAATAAGCCTCGAACTCAGAGGCGAAGCTGAGCTTCGCACCACTTGCGATACAAAATAAGAAAATTGAAGAAAAAAAAACGAAAAAACTAGTGGTAGTTATGGAACAACGTGAAGCCGAATAAAACAACAACTTATGAAAATGAAAAAAAAGTTACTTTATTCACTCGTCAAATAAACGTAAATGAGGCCACTAAGCCGATATAATATAGGCCGAAACCTAATAATCCAATAAAAAAGTAAAAAATAAACAATAAAAAAGTTTTTAAAAAAATTAAGACTAAAAAAGTTATTAAGCCCCCTCGCCCTCAAAACGCAGACACTTTTTTCGGGTCTAGGACAACAAGCCGACGGGACTTCAAGCCGAAGGGACTTGAAGCCGAAATTAAAACTTTACAGGCACCTCAAAACACAATTTTATCATCTGTAAAACGTTGCTTTTCAAAATTTTTGGAAAATTTAGTCCATGATAAGCGTTTTTCATGACAATGCACCATTTGTGATTGGCATCCGTTTATAACATCAGCCGGTTTTTGAAATGCATAAATTATAAACATGAAAAAAGCCTTCAACCATGTTTTACTTTCCAACTATCCGAAACATCCTTCGAAGGCTTAAATTTTATGAAAACGCCGATAACTAGTAAAGAAAGATCATGAGATTCAGAAATTCTTCAAAAAAGTTTTCAAATTAATCATATTTCACGACTTTATAAAGAACTATTCGGCTTGAAGTCCCTAATTTTAGAATTCGGCTTGAAGTCCCGTCGGCTTGATGTCCAGCACCCACTTTTTTCTGCTTTCGAAAGACGCAGTATGAGACCAACAAGCCGAAATAATATAAGCCGAAAACTATCAAGCCGAAAAAATTTGTTGTTATGAATAACTTAAACTATTATATCTTTTAAGACATTCTGTGCGATGCAGAGGAGAGCATAAAAAATATGCATCCGTTGAATTAACTCGAAATTAGTTCACTAAGGCAATTAAAAACAGGCCGAAATCATTTGGGCAGAAAAAATATGTAGGCCAAAAAAAATATATATATATACGAAAACAAAGACAGTAAAATTACAAACAGCAGAAGTAAATCAGAATACTAAAATCAACTGTAACTGAAAGATTTTTTAAAATCTATAAAACGGCAACTAATCCGGCAAAACATAAGCAGACAATAGTACGCCGACGATGATTTTTTCAAACGGAGTACTCCCCTTTGAAAAAACAGGTCCTGTCAGATTCGAACCCTGAACCTTTGCAGTACCAGGCGCATTCGTTTTGTCTTGACCAAGTGTGCATGCGATGAAACAAAATTTGAATTGATTATAAACTGAACCTAAATAGAGCATATAATTTTAAGCATTCTCTGAACAAAATAATTTATGGGGGAAAAGTCTAGTACCCGATTGCAATACCCTTGCTTATGGTAAGGTTGAGTAATAAAAAATCGGCAATGAGATGCTATGAAATTTCTAATAAAATTCCGATCATGATTATAGCAAATCAAGATTTATCGTGGTTTATAAGCGAATTCGGTTGGAAAAAAGAAGCTTCGTACTAGCAAACTCGCTAGAGTAACAACATTATGCAGTTGACTTACAATTGACAGATAAACAAAAGTTTCTTCAACCAAAGTTTTGACCTTCAAAACAATCACTCATGAAGCAGTTTTAACTTTCAGCTCAGGAAAGCTATGTTTCAGAAGTTCAATTTCTTTTTTAACAGATGAAGAAAAATCTTTGAAAAAACTATGCAAAACCTCATATCCAATTAAGCCATGAAACCAAAAAAAATTTCATCTAAAAATATGATATAGATTTGAAATTTTTCTTTTCAAACAAAAAATTTTTTTATATTATTTTATTTATTCACAATAAATCAGATCTACAATTGGTCGAATATTGAAAACAAACAAAAAAATACCCTGAACTAACTAAAAAACACACTACTAAAATAGTTAAATAAAATAATATTTATTTCAAAATTATGGGGAAAACTCTGAAGCAATGTAACATTCACCCGGAAGTACATATCGAAGGAAAATAAAGCTAGGTTCTAAAACGACTGGTTAGCGTCTAAGCAAAGCTCTACATGATTTTAACCGTGTCTACCAAAGCCAGTTCTTTTGGTGGTCTTTCTAACATCGGGTCGACAAAAACGTTTCCGGCTTCGATCGAACTAGTGAGCTCATGGCTGGGTCTCAGTATCCCCAGACCACAAGGTCACTCCTAAAAACGGGGCTACAACATATTTCTTATATTACTATTCTTATTATTCAGTAGTAAAATCATCATCTCCATCGAAGATGATCAACCCTTTCCCTCAACTCCTAGCTTCTCATTATCTGAACACGAATCTAGATGTTAGTAATTCAATTCAGGACATGACCAGGAAGCTGAAACTTCGTAAAATACAGTTTGAGTTCTAGTCCCGAGACCCCTCCGGATTCTCGAACCCGGGGAAATAGCAGTCCTATTTGTTCCCAGAAGGCTAGACTCGCCGTCGTAATACCCTTTCTGGTTCTCGGGTTTTGCGTTGTAGCGATTGTAGCGGCACAATTGTTACAAATCGGAATGGTTATCATCGTTTGCGATAATGCTCGTATCGTTCGTATTCTCTCCGTCCAGGAATAGCGTTGTTGTTCTCGTTGAGAATTCTGTTGTTGTGTTTTTGCCTTTTTAGTGTGTGCGAAAGATTAAAAGGTTACGTGTCTTTCACGTCTAAATCGAAATTTTAAAAATTCACATGTCAGTCAAAACTAATCTTTCTGAAGAAATTTTTGCTAAAAAGTAAATTTCAAACGTTTTCGCAACTATGTGCATCGTCAGGATTTTTACAATAAACTACTCTAAATGACGATAAAACATCAATTTACAAATGTTATTTACAATAAATCACTTACAATTTGGTTCTAAACCATCGTGATAAAAAATAAGCCAATCACAGTTGACCTCTAAATTACTATTAAGATTAAAATACTTTAAACCTCTAAAATTAATTAAACATTTTTAAATTAATTTGTCTGGAAATTTCTGAGTCATAATTTTGATTTAGACATGTACGTTTTGAATAAAAAACCAAAAATATTTTGGGACTAAATTTTCAGTGTTAACTCCCTGCTCCTAAACTCATCGCGCGTGTTCAAGCCCGGTTTCTCTTTCCTGATATGTATTGCCTCTAGTGTTAGCAATTTTGTTTGGTTGTTTGACCTATCTATAATTTCCCAACTAAGATCTGCGCTATTTCACTCAAGTTGGCATTGCTGAAGTTGGATGCCTACCGGTGAGTCTGCTTTCTTATGTTCCTCAATTCTAGTGGTCAAATGTCGAACAGTTTGTCCAAAATACGTGGAAGTGCATCCACTTCATGACAGTTTATAAACCACTCATGACTTCAGGTCATTAGAAAATGCTGACTTCAGTGATGGTAAACATGATTGCAGTTTTCTTGTGGTGAAAACCACTTGAACGTTAGTTAGTTTTCGTAACCTGTTAGCAAAATATTGTCTCTGGTTACCTCTATATTGCACCATCAGCATTGGGGGCTTCACATCCTTTGTTGATTGAACTGACAAACCCCTGTCACTATCCAGGGGCTTGCCCTTACCCTCGATGATCTTGCACAAGGCGTCTGAAGCCACCTTTGCGGACCAATTTTCAGGGTACTGATTTGTCAGCCATTGCGCCCTTTTAGTTTCCATAGCCTTATCAAAATGCTCCCAGCTAGATGTACTCCTAAAAACCCTGTGTACAGTGCCTTGGATAACACTACGCTTATACTGAGTTGAGGCGCAGCTTCTATAGTTCAGTATAGTCCCTGTATCTGTTGGTTTTTGATACCAACTGCAAGTTACACGCCTACCCTGCGATACATTTATGTTCAAATCCAGGAACGGCAAATTCACCTCCGAATTAGTTTTCTCTAGAATGAACTGCAAATCTGGTTGAAGAGAATTGGCGGCATCAAGAGGACAACTCGGCTCCCCTCTGACTGTTCTAACAATGTCATCCACATACCTGAGGAACAATTTCACCTGGGGAGTCTCCTTCTCCTTGTTCTTAGCTCGGCAGCAGCTTTCACAGTACCAGATTATCTCGGTTATTGATGCGTATACGTCATCGGATGTTTTTCCGCATTTTGGAATGATACCAGTTTTGGCAACTGTCGCATTCAACCCCCTTGGATCTAAATGTGACTTTCCTGCTGCAACATGGGCACAAGCCGTTTCTGTCATTAATTTGCTGTACCCCCGTTCCCACCGGTATTTGTTGTCATAGAGCAAATTCGTATTCTTTCAGCCATAAGTTTGCCAGAATTACAGCGAGGGACGCGCCAATTGCTAAACCATCAACTTGTACATACCATGAATCATTACACTCGAAATATACTTTGCTGACCGCCATATTCAAAAGCCTTTTCATGGTTGCTCTTTGAATTTCAGGAGGAGACTCCTGGCTGTACAGCTTCTGTAAAGCAATTTCAATTGCCTCCTTCAGGGGAACGTTGGTGTACAAACTTTTCACATCAAGAGATATTATGGTTTCATCCGGATCTAGAGCAATGTTTTCTATTTTTTCTCTAGCCTCTTTAGTATTGGTTTCTATATTTGCTCCATCGATGTTGTCAAAAAACTTTGCAAGCATTTTGTTAAGGTTCTCATACGAGCTGCCGGGAAGTGATAGTACAGGTCGTAGGGGTGTCTCATCCTTGTGTACCTTAGCTAAACCGTACAAACGGGCGGGTTGCCCCCCTGTTGATCTCATCTTAGAATATAAATGATCACTTATCTCGTCTCTTTTGTTCATGGCTAGTAATTTTTTGTTAAGTTTCTTCTCAATTTTCAGTATCACCTCATCAGTGGTTGTATCTTTTTTCACAAACTGAGCAGATTGCAACAAGGATTCCAGCTTTGATTCATATGTTTGTTTCCTCATTATGCAAAAACCAACCCCCTTATCAAAAGGCACAGCCAGCAAACCATTATCTTTGAGATATTTCCTCGTTTTTTCTACGGCTTTGTCTCTTGGGGTTTGCCGTACAGTTTTTGCATATGCCTTTG